TGAAACTTGAAATTTAATTATGCCGCCTGCGTTTCGTTTCGTTTCGCTTCGGTTTGTTTTTACTGCCGCTCCTGCGACGACGACGATTTGCCTGCAACATCTTGAGATGCAGGCGAAAACACACAGCAGCCACAGCCACTTGACTTCTGGAGTGGCACTTTTCCCTGGCATTTTCCCCTACCCCACTTTTCCTCACTTAAATGCTAAACACGCCAGGCAAATTAGCTCCTTGGGCCCCGCCCTTTAACCTCAACAGGTTTGCAAGGTGAGGAAAACCCTATCCCTAACCCAATTCCAATCGCAATCAGCTTTCCACACTCCTCACTTATCAAATATCCAAACTTCACAGCTCAAAATGATATTATTACTCGATTTGATTACGTTCTTGATTCGATTTCATCTAGGATTTCGTTTAATTGGTGTGGTGTCTCCGGGAAAAGCAATTTCGGTCTGAATCTGAATTCGGAATCGGAATCCGAAAGATTTACGATTTACGATGCACCCTTTATCACCCTCTTCTTTCTTTCCACACGCTCCAATTCATTTGAAAGCGATTTGTGTGGATTTATGGTTTGTTTGTCTCATTGGCAACTTGCTGCATAAATTTCCAATAATTATGGAAAATAAATCGCAGCTTTTGTAGTGCTGTGTAAATGCAAAATCAACAAGAACAACGCGAAATCAGTCAAGTATTTTCCTTCCATATAAATATTTAGTTTTTTTTTCAACCAGTTGTGCTGATTCACACAGGTAAGAAAGTGAAAAATGTTAAAAAAGACGGAGGGGGAACGAGAGGTGTGAAAACGGTTTTGGAGTAGAGTTGAGAGGATGGAGGATGGAGCACTCCTCGAGTGTTTGGAAAATAAACGATGTTGTCTATGACAAGGCATGACGGTAATGACCAACGCTGCTGGACCAGAGATTCAGCTCTGGCTCCTTCTTGGCCAAACCAACCTTCTCGACCATCTTCCATCTGCACAATCTGCTGCTTTTTTAGCCGCGTCATTGTTGCCAAGCTCCTCGGCAGCTTTGTTTTTGATTTACTTATACAAGAAACACTGGGATAAAATTCATAAAAGCAGAAAAATTAGGAAATTTTTAAATAAGAATATATAAGAAATAATAAGATATATTATTTAAATTATTTTATAATATTTTTCAAGTAATATACCTCTTTTTATCGGTTCTTATTGCCAATATAAGAAAAGCCAAAAATATATAAAATCAATGTATTCATTTAAATTAAATATTTTAAATGTTTTAAAGTCAAAAAATGAAGTTGCTCTAAGTAATTAGATTAGATATAATATTATATTCTTAACTGCTTTTTTTTACTTTTTTTAGTTTCTGTTTATTAGTTTCAATGTATTAATTTAAACTAAATATTACTTATATCAGAAATCATATCATATTTCGATAGGCTATTAAATATTACTTCTTAATTGTTTTTTTTTTTACTTTTTTCCCCATTTTTTTTGGCCAGTGTAATTTCGCACATATTTTTGCAGGCATATTTTTGTTTCGGGAATTTTTCAATTCAAGGTTTTGGCCCGGTGTGCTTCACACCTCTCTGAAAACTGAAAACCCAGTGTTTTTCTCCTTGTTTCCTCTTCCTTGGCTTTTTGTGCAGCATCATGGTCCCAGGCCCCGTGTTTCTGTTTCTGGGTTCCAGAGTTTCTGGGTTCCCGAGTTCCTCGGTTCCCCGAGTCCCTGAATTTCTCCGAGAGGCCGCCGACCGCCTGCCTGCCTGCTATCAATGGCAAAACCTTTTTGGATTGTTATTTTTGCTGTCTGCACTTGTGCGAGGAGCCTGAGATGGAGAAGTGGAAGTGGAAGGAGAATCGGGCTGACTGGCATCATAAATCATCTCAAGTGGCTGCCGCTGAGCCGCCGCCGCCGTTGCCAGCCCTCTAAATCCAGCTATTTCGGTTCTCTTGTATCTATAACTATAACAATTTGCAAGATACAGCGTAGCGTACACACGGCCATACACTCATCGCGCGGACTGTCAGTCAAGTCAGTCAACACTTTTGACATTCCCGCTGCACTAATTTGCGCACTTGAGCGTCTTATATTGTTGCCAGTTGGAAATGCTTGTGTTTTCGGGATACAATTTCCATTTCTGATGACTTAATCGGGGGCTCAAATGCCTCGAGACTCTTGTGCAGCCATATTTGAGGTCTAAAGTGCAGATAGACTATTTCTCAAAAATGTATAATGATGTAAAATGGTATCTATTATTATGATGGCTAACCATACCTTATAAAATGTCTTGCAAGAAATTTTTCTTTTAATGTTTCCAAATATTTTAGACAACCATTTGGAAAACCTTTTTATAATGGATTTTAGTAAACTACTGTAAACTGTTATTTATTATGATAAGTAATAAAAAATATTATTTGTTTAGCTATTGTATTTTCATTATTAAATCTAAGACTGATAAACGCGCATTCTGCGGCACCTTATTGAGTTTTTTCTTTCATCCTGAGATACAAATACATCTGTTGTGCCTCAGATACAATTTCCAATTCCAAAGGAGCCCTTTCTCACAGCTTAATCCCCGGGCACAGGTACCTCGAGATACTTGGATGCAACCATGAGATACAGATACATTTTCCTTTTCTTTTTGGTGGCGTTAAACTGACAACAGCTGTGCGGCACATTTGCGAAATAAAGAAGATAAAGGAGCAGGGAAAGAGGAATCGATAAAGATGCGGGGGAGGAGAATAAGGATTTCTGATTTCTGCACTTTTCGGGGCAGGTTATACGGTATATACCATCGTCTATAAGCCGCTTCTTCTCGATTTTATTGCCCCAGAAATGCGGCAACAGCGCCCAAAAAAAAGAAGGAAAACAGCTGCTGGAATTCCTAGCGATTGAGGTACCTTTTTCGCCCAGAGAAACCCGAGAAGATCGCGATGGAAATTGATATTTCGAATTGGTTAGAAAATTATGGGGGTTTTCAAGAGCAGTTCGTAAGGAATTTAATCTTAACCATTTGAAATCGTCTATTACTAATTAAGATATATTTTTTTTAAACATTCAAAAATGTTTAAGTTTTAAACTAGAGAAATAAATATTAATTTGGAATAATAAGTGTTATGAAACAGCACTTTTTTGTCATATCGAAATAAACGATTTATTTATAAGAACGATTTTCCCTTTACTATTTTTCAGTTTCTTGATTGAGAAACAAATCAACACAAGTCCGAAGTTAATCATTAAATGTATTTCACACATGTTAAAAAAATTTCGATTCCAAAATTTTCAATTGCTTATTTCTCTTAAAATAATTGATTTTTCAGACTTGACAAGCAAAAGTTCCCTTCTTATTGCTGGATTTATGGGCCATAAATATGCCAATCAATTAAGCTAAATTTTGAACAAAACTCCAGCTGATTGAATCGATCGTTTTCGGACTCTTTCAACAATTTGCTTAATTGCAAATCGCCACGAATCACTTCACAATGTCCCAGAAGAACAACAAAAAAAGGGGTAAAGGGGCGTCCCGGGAATTATTCTTGGTTCTCAAGATCGGCGGGGCATATAGGCTATATTGCTGTATACATATGCCTATAAATCCATCCGTTGATTGCCGTCGGCATTGATTTATGGCCACAAGCGGCGAAGATCGCGGATGCCAGCGCGATGGACAAAGATCCCCGAAGATACAAAGATACATTTTCGACAACACATGGCGAAGTTATAGGAAAAATAGAATATGGCTCTGCAATAACCATTTGCGTTTGTCCATTAAACAAATGTGCAAAAAAATAAACAAACCGGCACACAAATTGAGCAACATTTTCGAAGCGAAGCAAAAACATTAAACACACCAAGAGCACAGCAACTAATGAATATAAATTATTAACTATGTAGGCACTTTGGCTAATGTATTCTCCTCTTTTTTTCTGGGGTTTCCCCCATCATTTTTTACACACAATGTTATAATGGATGTTTAAAAAGGATGTCAAAGTGTTTCAAGTTGTCAAAATATAGGTTTACTGTGAGTTATTGGTTAAATGTCGGCTAATTTGTGTCTACAGTTGCGGGATTTATGAAGATTTAATGGTATTTTGTATTGTGTTTTTTAGGGAGTCTGTTATAGAACATTTTGATTTTTTATTTTCCAATAAAATATAATTATGAAGTCATTTTAGTATTCTTCATATTTCTATAATTTTTACTAAAAAATACTTTTACCAAATTGACTTTAAGTGATTTATGTTTTTAAATGACGTTGCACCTTTTGTTTTGGAAATATCAAGTGCTTTTCCCTAAATGAAGTTCCGAAATGTATTCCATTTTGAAAGACTTCTTTACTCCATGATAAATGTAAAATCTAAAAGAAATTTTACTATTTTTATCTATTTATATTTTTTTTATAAATTTTTAGATCATAAAGTTTATAGTATTTTGGTTTAACACTTGAAAAATGTAGGGAAAAAATCCTTTAATGGACCTTTTCAGCTAATAATTTTCTTTAAAATCTCTATAATAAACTTTGTTTTATTACTTCCCGCAACATTTGTTATCATTAATTTGCAAAATTAAACTTCTGTTGGTTCCAAACTAAAAACACGTATTATTCTAAGCCATTATAATAATAATGCACTTGTATTGTTTTAAAGAACCGTATATATTAGGTAACGGGGTTTTCCATTATTTTCCTTGTGCCGTTTCTGTGATTACACTTTTGTTATTTATTATTCCTGTTTTTCCCCCACAAAATACAATGTTTTCCCCTGGTTTTTCGCTATCTTTTTCCTTTTTTCGCGTTATTTTGCATTTTTGGCAATTTGCAGAAATAACAACAGCGAATGACGGGACAAAAGGATGAGAGAAAAAACACCGTTAGAATGTTGGTAAAAGCGTAACGTTGCACAAAGTTGTTGTTATTTGATGTTTTCCATTTTTTTCGACCCTTTTTTATGGGCCAAGGAAAAAGGAAAATGTTCTTTACATTGCGTTTTTTTAATTTATCATATAGAGTGACCTACATTTTGTTGTTGTTTTTTCTCCACAGCAATTGCAAAAGCACTTGCAATCTTAACAGTTGTTGTTGTTGTTGTTTTCTCTCGTGTTTGTTTTTATATGCTTTCGATTTTTTGTTTTATCCAAATAAAGATGCTGCTGTCAGTGGTTGTAATCCGTTTTTAAATTGATGTTTTCTTTTCGTTTTCAAGAAACTTGCATTTTTCTCAATGGTTTTGGTTTTGTTGTTTTGCGTTTGATTTATTTATGTTTTTTTTTTTAGCACTTTAGCACTTGAAAAAAAAGAGGTGACGACAATACAAAACATAGATTAAAAACAAATACACATATGTAACGGGAATAACGGGAGGGGAGCGAAATTAAAAGCGGTAAAATTCGAAAAAAGACAATAACAAATGTTCCGCAAAAATGCAAAATACACACACGCACACGTACACACATACATGCGAGGACAAGGCGCACACGTGTGCGAGCGAGAGGCAGCGATTCGCACGCGTTTACACGGAGCGGCATAAAAAAAACACACACCCGAAGTAGCGGCAAACGGTAAACGGCCGCGAAAGAACCGTTCGAGTTGGAGCTGAGTAGACGAATACTGAGGACTGCAATCGCGCTGTTTCCGGTTTTTGAAATTCGTATCTGGCCCAGTGTGACCAGCCGGGCGCCGCCTGGTATTTCTCACGGCCGCCGAAACGGTCACTCCTCGCTCTTTCGCGAGAGCAGCAGCGGCGAAGAGAGCGAAAGAGAGCGCTGGCGGAGAGTGGCGCTCTCTCGTTAACATTGGCACACGCAGTAACAGAAGTAAACACGATTCGCTAACATTCTGTTAGCCGCCACAGGTTTCTGTTGTTGTTTGCCTGCATTTCTTGTTGTTGCTAATTTACTTAACTCATTTTTGTTTTTGTTTCCAAAACAGCTGTTGGCTGTTTTTATCACGAAAAAAATACAAAAATAATTATATAAGTATTAAAAAAAAAAAAAAATTTATTATAAAATTTTATTCTGTTATCCCTCAGATTTACTATAAATATTATCTAAGTGACAAATTTAATTTATAAACAAAATTAGTACAATTTTACATTTTCTCTTTTGTTATTTTTTCACATTTGTATCAAGTAAATAAATAAGAATAATAAATAACTGCTATAAAATGCTTGTCCTTTTAAAATCCTGTATAAAAGGTATTATTAAAACCTTAACTCGCAGTGAAAAACTCTTAAAAAATCCATAAACTCTGAAAAAATTCTACTAAAATATTGTTTATAATATTTATATAAATATTTTGCAATCTTTATATTTTCCTTAGTTCATTTATGCTTTCGGCTCGCTTACTGTTTTATGTAACTATTTACTTGGCTCTTAAAACTTCTCCCACTTCCTCTCTTATTTAGTTCTCTTTTGTGATTTTCTCTCCTCAACTTACTCTTTTCTTATTCCTCCTCCTGTTATCCTTCTTGTATAACAGTTATGTATAACAGTCACTCTTATATCCTTGAACAAAAAGGTGGCTGACTCGACTACTTTTCGGACAACAACTTGTTGAAGGATTTGCATTTTTATCTCATTTATTTGGCTTTGCCATAATGTTTAGGTTTTTACTTTGGCATCTTTATTTATTGTAATTTGCATTTTTTCGGTTTTTTTTGTTAAGCTCTGTGTGATTTTTTTGTGCTTGCCAAAGATTAATTATAAGAAATAAAAGGAGGAGTGTTATAAATGGCGATCGTAACTTGAGACGAAAATAAGGAAAAACAGTTACAACACATTTAAACACATTTTTCACAACCCCAAACGAAAACAAGAAGAAAAAACAATAATAATAAGGTCAATCAACGGACTCAGCGGGCGGCGACTGCGCTGCCGGCGTCGCTGTCAACAGCTGTCGCGCATGCGCATAAAAAAGGGAAAGAGACAGATATATGGAGAGAGGTGGTGAAATGTAGAATGCACACGGAAAAATTGTGCAATCATTTGCAATGTAAGTTTAATAAATATGCTACCGAATATTGACATATGTACCTACATTGGTAATTATCAATAATTTCTTATTTTTTTTTAAATATATATTTATATTTATATATTTATATTTTAAACTAAAAACTATTACAATAAATAATAAAATAATGAATTTCCATATTCAAAAATTAAATTTGTATACTTGCTCTAAATTGCTTTCTATCGAGGAACTGTAAAATAAATTACTTTTTTAAGGAAATACAGTTTTTATTTTCTTATCTTTTAAAATGAAATAAAATCAAACAAATTATTTTAGAAGAGAAATACAATTTACAGTAAATAATTTCTACTAAATGAAAAAATTTGAAACCGATCCTAAAAGTTTTATTCAGTGTACCAGCAGCAGATTAATTGCATAGTCGGCGGCGTGAATTTATGAATTTCCCATGAGTGATGGGATCTCACTCCAATTTTTTTTCAGCGCCACTTGAGAAAAAGGAAAAGCTGGGCAACATATTTTCAAATTTTGTTTTTGTTGTAGGTAGTAGCGTGGGCCCGCATTGTTGTTGTTTGATAGTTGGCCATTTGTTATTGGTAAGCTGATCCGCTACGGTTGGTGGATATATCTCCAAAAAACTAGGGATAGTTATTGGACTTAAAAATAATGGAGAACTTCTGACCATTAATCAGAGCGGTTCAATATAAAAACCATAACAATTCAATGCCAGCTTACAAAAAAAATTGTATATATTTTACATTAATCTTTTAAAAATATTTTACTAAAATTCTATTAATCTTAAAAAATTGTTTTTAAATATTTAAGGGAAATATACTTTTTAATAGTAAACGAAAAGTTTTTTTAAGAGATAGTCATTGATAAGAAGCCTTTAAAAAACATTTATTAAAAATTAATGTGAAAGTGAAACATACACAACGAAATGTTTCGGTTTATTTAACCCTGGCTGAATATGTCAAAGATTTTGTTGCAGGTTCCCAGGCCAGCCAGTTCGCCCCCGGATTGAACTTTCAACTTTGTTTTGACATCCAGAGACAAATTCAATTAAGCCAAATCAGTCGACAATTAAACAATTGAATATAATTACGCGAAATTATGAGCGTCGGCGAAAGAGAAGGGCGCCGAAATCGCGGATTTACAAAGACGAAAAGACGAAAAAAAGCCTAATTAATAAAGAAGAAGTGAGCAATACAACATGACGAAGGTCCGAAGATTGGAAGGTCTTTGAGAGTCCGAAGTGAAGAACCCAACTCAGTGGGACGTCCCGGCGGTCAACTCCTACTGCTTTTGGGCATATTCTCAACCCCCGATCCCTGAACCATCCACATACCATATCATACCATCCACCATCCATTTGTTTGCCCTGCCACCTTTTCAACTCCTTTAATGAAGTGGATAAGCAAACTGAACCGAGTATCCCACAGAGTCTGTAGTCAGTCTCTCCGTATCTTTGTATCTCTTGGATGCTTTTGGATCGCCTGGCGGATGTGTGTGTACAGTTATAATTAAGTGATACACATAAATGGGCGCCCCAGACTTCCACTTCTCTTAGCCCAGGTCTCAGTTTCAGTTTCTGTTTAATGATTGTTTTCAATTAGTCTTTTCGTTTTCCTCGCCTTTGATACCCCCTCGTTTTTTTGGGCTGCTATTCAAGGTATGCCGTATTTTTTGGATATCTTCACTTTAGCGGGGATCGTATTACAGACTTTTCAAGATTTTAGTAAATTAAGTATTTTTAATTTATTCAAGACTTTAGTAATATTTTTAAATTTGATAAGTTAAGTGTAAACCCGTTTATAATGTAATTTTTATCTAATAATATTTAGTATTACGATTTTAAAGGTTAGAAAGGTGTAAAAATCCAGTAACTCCAAGTCGTTACTTTTAAGATCTTCTGTGTTTCTGACAAACAAATCCGAAGAGCAGAAAAACCCGAGCCAGTCACTCAGTGAGACACTCAATTTCCTGACTCACTCACCGGGCCAAATGTGCGGGGGCGTTGGAAAGGTTTTTCGGTTCTTTTTTCTTAAATAATGGTAGGGGTTGATTTAAGAAAAAAACAACAAAACGAATGAGTCAATCCGGTATGGAGCGCCTTTTAAGTGTTTACGCTTGTTTTATTAATTTCCATCATACATCTTCGACTGTCAGCGATCATGGCTTCACCTTCAACTCGTTAACGATCTGCCGAAGTTGGCTTGAAAACCCATTGATTTGATTTTTAGCCCAAGAGAGTTTATACAGTATAAATAAATAAAAAGTTCCTTAAATGTCCATAAATATGTAGTAAAGTTCCTTGCAGAATTTCTACGAATTTAAAGCCATTTTTGGTAGCTGTCTCATTTTGCTATTGAATGTCAGTTATTTTCGGAACTCGGCTTCCGTTCCCGACAGTCGACGTTTCAGACCCAGATCTGCCAAAGACAACTGGCCCGGATGACGGGCACAGTGCAGTCAATTGACCGCTAACTGTTGCAGGACTCCGCGCCATTCCATGTCCTTCGAATTTGTGGCAGCCACAACGTGTGGCAGACAGCTTAAGACTCTGCCTGACGGGATGTCCACATACTTGCCACACTCGGCGAAAAAAGGTGGGCAAATTAGACAAAGAAACTACAGAAGCTATAGATTTTTATTTCGAAAATAACATTTTTATACATTTAATTATTATATTTTCAAAAAACAATATCAGAAATAAAATAAGTCAAGAAAAAATAATATCTTAAAAGTTTTTAAGTTACTCATTTAAAACTATTTTAAGTAATTAAAAAACATACATAAAAAATCTCTTGGCAGGCAGAACTTCTGTTTATTATTTGATGCCTGTTTTTTAATTTTCCAGATTTACTTCTGATTTATTATGTTATATAGAATAAAATGAAAAATAAAGAATATTTTTAAAGTTTTTAAGCTATACATTAAATTACTGAATGGTGTTATAAATCTAGAAATAAATTCAAAACATTTTAAACTATTTCTAGTGATATATAGAAAATTTTTTGGATGCCAGAACTTCTGCTTTTTATTTCTGATGCCTGTTTTATAATTTTCTATATATTCTTCTGATTTTTTATGGTGCAGGATAACGTTGCGGGGGCGAAAAGTGGGAGGGGGAGGGTCCGGGATAAAGGCCGTGTCGTTGACAGTCGTCATGCGCAGCTACTTAGACGGACATAAAATTATGATTACAGCAAATGCCACATGCTCCACATGCCACTCCCCCTTCTGAGATATGTATGAAAAAAAAGCGAAAAAATCCGAGGCAATTCATTACAATAAGCTCACGAATGTGCCATAAAAATGGCAGCTCTCTTTCTGCTTTCCGCTTTCTGCGGCACTGCACTCGAACCATGAAATTGCCAATTCCAATCCGGTTTTAGTTGTAAAAACTTTCATGATCCCCACATTAATAGAATATGCCATGTACTCCGCTCAGTCAGCCGCCGATAATCTCTCATCTTTTTGGCAAGGCCATTATGGATTGTTCCCACCGCAGGTTTGCCATCCACTTACTATCCCCACACACGATAAGCAGGTCCTTTGTGCGTCTATCTGTTGAGTTTATTTTAATACTAAGTAGACTTAGCGCCCAGCACACCAAAGGTTAT